CTACAATTGACGCATTCGTATCGGCGGGGGAGTGAGAATTGTAATCTACATTTTCTGCCCCTCCCCCTCCTAAGCACGGGGGGCTGCCACAGCTGTGTTTATGCGGAGAGCAGGACAGTGTCACAGCCTCTAACAGACGCTGTTTAATAGCATCCCGGTGTGCGCAAACTGTTTGAACGGCCGCCTGAAAAGCAACAGTGCTTGCCACGGGAGCCCACATCTGAAGCAAGACTTCTACCACACTGCGTCAGCCTCTGCTCTTGGCCAAATCTATTTGTCTGGCGAAAAGCTTCGTGACGGTCTGTTCACACCCGAAGTACAGGGGCGTCTATAATGTAGTCAAGGAGACAGCATGGACACGAGGATGGAGGGCACTAGAACTATGCTCACTCCGCTCATCTGTGTGTTGCCCTCGCTCGCTTTTTCCTTCCTGTCTTGCACAGTTGAACAAGTGCTGCCGGAAAGGTGTTCAAGATGGGTCTTACTCGAACTGCTCTTGAAGCTGATCAGCAGCACCGTTACTTCACGGCCTTGCTGACATGAGCTTGGGAGTTGGGCTGCCGATGCCAGAGGAGCTTTCCTGTGATGTTGCGCAAACGTGACCTGTTGCATCCCGCCGCCATTTCAGCTTCTAGGAGTTTTGTAGACCCCGCGTAACTCCCTCTAGCCGTTGCCGGCGTTCCGAGGGGCTGCGGGGTCAGGCCCGGTCAGGAAGAGATGCGGCCTGGGTCTCGGCAGTCGGCTTCGGTCGAATCTTCGACCCTCAGCTGTGGGCGCCGGTTGTTTTCCCGCAGGTTTGGGAAACTGCTAGCTGCTGTGACGGAGAAAAGCCGGGCGAACGAGCCCTACGTGTCGTACAAGGACACATCGGACCAGAGCTGCTACACTCACATCTGCTGTCGTCCCCTGACTATGAGGAGCTCAAGCGCAATATCAGCAAAGTGCATGCAGCATGTGGACTCCAGGTGCGATTAATCGAGAGGTCAAACGTGTCATGGATGCCAAATAAGCAGGATGACGCAGAGCCGTCTAGCGGAGATGAGGGTTGCGTCCCCGATGTTCTCGCTCTATGTCGCTCTTTTGTTTTGCTGGCATGTGCTGGCACATGTAGTGAACAAGCCCTGACGCGGAGGCCCTGGATTCATGGCCCAGGCACAAGCATGTGAAGAGTGCACAACAGACTGGCTGCTTCATCTTACAACTTGCGAGGAGCGCCTGGAAAGCCAGGCGGCCTCCTCTTCTTCTTCTCACGTAGCCAGGGGCTCAGTCTATATACAGTATAAAAACAGTCCGAATGCAGCTTCCAGAAGGAGTCAGAACGCGAATCGGCATGCAAAAAGCCTCGTTTGTGCCCGCTTCAGATGCTTCAGATTTCCAGCCTTCGGTTTGCTTTCAAACTTGTGTTGGAGTCTGCAGACATCTGCAGACCAAGTGCCTTTCTCTGTGCTTTATGTGCTGTATTACATTGTGACATATTGTGGCCAGGAGAGCAACGAAGGTGTAGCCTCGTCATTCGTCGAGTTCAGCTGATTCACGTGGCCTTCCGGCCGAGCTGATGCAAGGAGTGAGTCGAAGATAAGACCGAACATTTGTGAGCAAGATTGGGTGAGCTTTGGGCGGAGCCTGTTCTGTGACACAAGTCCTGCGTTTGAGAACAGCCTGAAAGGCCGCCAGCAGTAGCTCCGCGAACCCTCGAGTCGTGGGTCCCCAGGAGGTCGGGTTACATGCCATACAGAGATTACAGACTCGTTGCCTGTCCGAGTGTCTAGGAGTCTAGGGCTTCACGTTCGTCTGCAGGATTTCTTCAACCTCATCAACCAGGATGTCACCGCCGCGAAGCTTGTGCCTCAAAGCCATGAAATCTGGATAAGCTCCGTCTGGAAGATTCCCAGCAGCGCAATCGAAATGTGCGGAACAGCTAACTTCCGCTCGACTTCATCAGTGTGCTGTTCGGTGCCTGACTACTGAGCTGATGAGAAGCATCTTAAACGATTGATTGCTGCGTGTCCTTCATGTCGCGACAGAGAACAGACATGTCTTGGCTTCGGTCTCAAGCCTGAGTGCGGATTCCTGCTGCTGATGTCGCACAAAAGGGCCTTCGACATGACATGCACTGGGCATCGGGCGTACCCTGTCCCTTTTTGCGCGCCTGCATAGGGTGTCGAAACCATGGGCCATCGGAAGGACAGTCTGCACGCCATGCAGTTCTAAGACCTTCTTGAGAGATGCATACTGTCGGCAGCGCATAAGCCACGGCTGCAGCGCCAAGCTCGTGGCGACATCGCGCATGTTAAGAAATATTTACGTGGAGGCTGCAGCATGTCCCTCATGAAGTGCAACATGCAACATCATGAAGAATGCATTCTGAGGCTCTATGTGCAGAGCACCGTTTCTGGCCTTGAAGCCATGCTCGGTGAGTTCCAGGCCCGGAGTGGCATGACATGCGGAGACTGACGTGATTTGTGTGCAGGTCGCAGCCGTAAAGGCTGGTCTGCTGTTCACTCCGCAGCAGCTTGAGGAGGCATGCGGAGCCAAAATTTGAGAACCGCTGGCCCTGGCCCTGGCCACCCTGGCCCTGGACATGTGAGGTTTCATGGCAGCTGCCTGCTCCCATGGATCAGGACTGACTCATGTCATCATGTCATCGCTCCTGTGTCACTGCACAAGGAAGCATTGGTGGTCCAGCGCTCAGTCGGGCTGTCGTTGCATTGCATCAGCACTTGTTTCTCAGCCCAATCCGAAGACGGATGGAACTCAAATCTGGTTTCGGCGGGAGTCTAGAGCCTCTCTTCCTTGAGGAATGGTTGCTCTCGCTGCGACCCGGTGCAAAGACCCGGGAAGAGAGAAGTTGTCTCGTTGAGAAGTGCGCCCGTGGTGCTAGGCAGAGGTCGGCTAGGCTGTGCTTGGCCAGTGTGCTTGATGAGTAGGGTCCGTTTGCTGATTGTTGTTCTGCCGGTTGGACGGCTCAACTGCAGAGGAAAGGTGGCAAGACTAAGCATCTTGCAGTAGCTCCGCCGCGGAGGACGGTAAGCCTGTTCACGGAAGGGCCGTGTGCGTCCTCCTTGCGGCGAGCCTTCCACTTTCCGTAGCCACACCGCAAGCACAGCAGCAGCACGGCATGCTGAAGACCGCGGAAGACTTCGTCGACACCTCCGAAGAGGAGGAGGCTGGAAATTTCTTCGCGAGGTCCTTTCGCAGATCTTGCCTGCCCTAGACGTGGAGGTAGACGATGACGAGCAGCCCGGAGGCGGACCCGCGGATGAGCTGCTTTGTCTGCTGTGGCCGAAGAGACCTCGGGCCTGGTCCCCTACCAAAGCATGCGGAAACTCTTTTGGGCGCAACAAGAAGGGGAACGAACATGAGCCAACACGCCATGCGACTTTTGCCTGCAGGATGCTGTAGGTGGAGGGTGTGGTTTGTCCAGTCGTGTCGGCAGACAGCTCAGGGAGGGTTGGTGACTGGATCGTGTCAGGTTCAATGTCAAGTGTAATCCTGTCGCCGAGACCTGCAGCTCACGAATCGCTTGTTCCCGACATTGACAGCACCAGCAGCGCAGGAATGCAGAGGGCGCAGATTACACCGGGCGCATAGTCGTTCTTTTGTATCTTTGCACGCTCATCATGTCCCATCCCTTGCTGTCAAGTTCTTCTAAGTTCTTCTTGTTCGCACAACAGGATTTGCATGGGGCAGCTTGTTCCGCAACTCGTTTCAGACTCCTCTGCCTCCGGATTTCCTCTCAGGCTAAGACTTTCCATATTACGGGTTTTGGCCCGTTTACCTGCGTGGTCCAGAGTCTAGAGTCCAGGTGGTCCCAGCGGCATCGCAGCCGTAATCCTAGAAGACACTTTGCGAGCCAGGCGGGCCGTACGCCACGTTGGCAGCCGAAGGCGCTAAGGCGGCCAGAATCGGAACAAGTTTAGCAGTCATGCGAGGAGGCTAGGAGCAGGATCCAGATCACAGAAGCCCGAAACTGCTGAAAACACAGGAGTCTATGGGCAGTGTCGGCCATCCTGAGCAATGCATCCTGGCTTAATTTGGGGACAGGGCTTCCTAGTTGTCTCGATTGTTTCTCGACCCTGCCATCGCGATAAGCAATTGTGCTTAGCTAAGATTGCTGGATTGCTGAGGCACTCCGTGCACGTTTTATTGCTTCACTCGACGTGGTTGCAACCGTGGCGCCGACTGCAAGCAAGAGCCTCAGCGCAGGAGCTGAGCCGCGAAGCCAGCGGTTTAGTTGGTTCGCGTTCGTGCCTGCGGTACGACAGTGTATGCTAGTTCACGAGAGAAAGAAAGATAAGACATCGAAGGTGTCTTGCTAAGGCAGGTATCGAAGGTGCCTGCTACTATTGAGGCTTCGGAATGGCCGTGGCCATTTCGGCTAAGAGGCCTCCTAACGGGAGGCTATTTCGAAGAGTAGCTAGGAAGGGGAACGGGGTTAACAACCCCGCGTTGCCAGTTATGTCGCAGAGCCAGAGCCCAACGGAGCTAGTTCTCAGCAGCCCCGAGGGAGAGGGGGTGCTAGAAGTGGAACAGCCGCTACAGGGACAACCAATGCTAGTCCTGGTCGATGAGGCACCGAGTGTGGATCACGACTTGCTAGACCAGGCCTACAATCACCTGCAGAGTCAGGGGATGGGCACGCTAGAGCTCGCAGCCCAGGATCTGGGTGAATGCGACCTCATAGCTAGGCAGATCTGCGATGAGTTGGGTATCCCCTGCCCTGGCTACCTGACGGAGGCGGTTCGAAACTGGGTGGAAAAAGCGAAGAAGGAGGCGCTACTCCTCCGACGGGCTAGTGGTTGCTACGCTAGCCAGCTCACTTGGGAACGGATATCGCCACCGCCGAAGGTACGGGAGCTAGTACCCGTTTCCAAACCGGAGTGGGAGCCCCCTCCGGGGGAACGCAACAGGAAGCTACTGGAAGAAGGGTTCATATCCCTTGCTAGAGAAGAACGGCTACAGGAGCTATGGGTGGTGAAGCTCAAGCAGGAGCTGAAGGACATCGACGCGCCAGTCCTGGCCAAGCTACAGGGGAGTTAGGACCCGGACCGGGCAGCCAACCTGCTAGTGGGGAGAACCTGAGCTAGCACTCTGAAGCGGTATCTCACCTACTACAAGCAGTGGAGATTGTGGTTGGGGGAAGCCAAGCTAAGGCTACCACCTGGGAGACCAGCAGACCTGGTGGATTTTCTGCTAAGCAGGCGAGATGAGCCATGTGGTCGGACAGTGCCAGAGGCCACGCTAAGCAATTGCTTGGGTGGAACAGGTCGCTGAGTTCCCGCTAGAGCAGCGGGCCAGCCATGAGAGATTGGCCTGGGCCGCGAAGGATAGAATTGCGGAAGAACTCTCCACAGGAGCTAAGCTGACAAAGAGAGCTCCACGCTACCCGGTCTATATCGTGGCACAGCTAGAGAAGGTCGTGCTAAACGCTGTGCATCTGGGCCTGGAGGAAATTGCTAAAGGTCTGGGGCACCTTGAGACCTCCAAGCAATCCCAGGGGAGCTAAGCTTGGTGGAGGACCGCCTGGT